TCATCTGTGAAGTTACCCAGATGAAAACAGTCATGCTGACTATTAACAACGATGTAGGTATACATTACTATCTATAACATAAACACTTTGGAAATACTCTGCGAATAAATTAATAGTCCGATTAGGATTATCTGAGACTTCGTTAGCAAGGGTCATCCTACCTGGTATTCTAGATGAGCCTTTCTTAGACTGGATGAAAGACCAACCAAATCATTTTCAACTTTTTGCAGATATAGATTGTAACAGTCTTTTATCTGTTGTTTAACAAGTGCACGGACCCTAGAAAACTGTCTATAGATTTCCTGACTTTTGGAAAGTTTATATTGTTGATGCAGTCTACATTTCAGCTTTAAATTTCGAATAATATCCGAGCCATACCAACCTGGATAACGATGCTTATGCTGAATATATTTCGGACCGTACAGATCAAAAACGGAGTATAATTTTTCATAGAACAAGTCACACATGCGATTGACATCCTCCACGTTGTCCAAAAAGGACCAATCAATGTAAGTCAAGGCATTGTAAAGGCCGATGAAATTAGCTTTCCTGAAGTTGTACGTTGGAGTTACTACATTCGTGTTAAAATTAATAGTGGCATTGAATTTAGTTTCACAAACTGCAGATAGAGAAGGATGATACAAATCTTCCTTGACCACCGGCAAATTATCATGATAGGTTTCACAGGTCATGTCAGTTATCACCAAATCCAACATTCTTTGTCTAGCATTCAAAACAGTATTGGTTTGAGAAAGACCTGAAAATTCCAAAAATCTGTTAAGTGCAGTCGAATGTCTATCAACAATTGTATTATCAACAAAATTTGTTACATTGAAACCTCCTATAATTAGGACATTTAATTGACTTATTGTAGTTTGTGAAAATAATTTCAAGAATGTTTCAAAGTCTACAAATGTTACTTGTGGTGGTACATACAGGACATATAAAAATACCGAATTAAATCCTATAGTACACTTGACCCCTAGAATATCGCACAAGTAAATTTCATTGCGAATGTGCTCAAGATTAATTGACTCAACATTAAACATATCTTTTCATGCTAGCAAAACCCCTCCTCCGCATGAAGTGCTTGTTTTTAAGAAATCGCGGTCACAACGGTAGACAATATACTCCGGAGGAAATAGTTCCGAATTTCTCACACCACTACACAACCAAGTTTCGGCAAGTCCTACAAAATCATAATCAGAAGACAAAATTGCGGAATAAAATTCATTGAATTTGGTGTTCAGTCCGCGCACATCTTGGAAATAACAGCGCATAGGGATATTTTTGTTGGGCTTCCCTAGTTTTCCGAAACAATTCTAGGCACACCACGAACGTACTTGATCTTTAAGCCGTCTTCGCCTCTTGCAGAGCGTTCTTCCATCTCCTGTTTCAGTTTTTTATAATGCAAGATCTGTCGAGGTGTACGATCAAATGAGATACTAGTCCTGGAGAAAACATTGCTCCTCTTTAAGTTGCTAGCTGACTTAATACAAGCACGAACATCATCTTCATCCCCAAGTGTTATTTTCATGGCCCTCATACCAGCTTTGATAGATCCTAGTCTAATCGGCTTAATACTATCGGCATTAACATCACGATCCAAGACCTGTAGAATCTTTTTGATTTGTTCAGTGTCATGAGCCCTCTTTTGCGCGTTGGACTGATCTGCACTCTCTTGAACCCCAAAGATAATTAAGTTTTTCTTCCTAGACTGCCTGTCGTTTATTTCTGGAATTATATCTTCAAAGTCGACAGAAGGTGATATCTGGGCTGTGTCAGTGCGAGTAGACTTGAGAGCGTTTATTTCCTCTTGCAAAGAAATGACCAATGCTCGAAGATCAGATAATGTAGCACCAATCATGCTTCAGTTTTTACAGGTGAAATGAACGTTTGGGACAACTCAACGCAGCTGTAAAAATAATGGTTCTTGCACACAGAACAGCTCACAAACTTGTTGTCATCCCCAAGTTTTTTGTAGCAAGTACAACTCATTTGCGTAGTTTGAGGCATTATGTGATTTGATTTGACTACCAGGAGAGTGCAGAATTCTAGGTAAATACGGCAACGCCGGTTCCGTTTTCACGTTTAACGCTCGGATTCTTCCGGTGTTTACAGGTTATGAAGATGTATCAGATGCCAAAAAGGCTGACGATAACCAATGAATAGCACACTATTGGTAACAACTGACCTTAGATATGCAGTCTGGTTGCTTGAGACGAAATTAATTTTTTAAAAATGCTGCAAAACAGATCCAAAACGCGCACATCGAAAACTACACTGTTGTCAGATGGTGACTCAGAGATAGAAAATGTTGTTTTGTCTTTGTAATTTATTTTTTAGTAAGGGCTCTTACATTTAAATATATTTGTATGTGTTTGTAGGAAGATAAATAAATAAATAAATAAATGGCTTAGATGCTGAAAATTTTACTATCAAACACACTTCCTCTTTCAAATATCTAGAGGTAACTCTATCGGCAAATGGCTCCCTGTTGAGGAGTGGAAACGCGGCCGCCCACCCAGAAGTTGGAAAACTGTCGGAGAAGCCATGAGGACAAGAAATCTTCAGGAGGGTGACTAGGAAGATCGAAAATTGTGGCGATTGAGAAGCGAGATACGGCTATAGCTGTAGGAAACTGGCAATTATATAATAATTCCTTATAATTTTCATATACTTTCATAAAACGTGAGTGAATTCTTTCTACGTCACTTAGTGCTAGAGCAACGATTGGCTCTCGCTCCAGTGCTAAGAACTAAAGTGCTCATGCATAAATAATAATTAGTGGATTGTATCTATCATATCTATCAATAACACCAGCTATTTTATAAAAGTCTCCTAGATTCAGTAGATGTCTAATTGAAATGGTCTTTACGAGTAATTCTCAAAAAAGCTTAAAAACAGTCTCATGTGCACACTCACTATTTTTTCTTTTGTTCAGGAAGGGGCGAAATATATCATACATGAATTTTGTTGACAAATAGATTGGGACCCATTACCTATATGTCTTGTGCGGGGTTATTTTTAGCTGATTTTTAACAGGCTGCATTTACGTGTAAATACGTATTGAGGTTTTGTTTAAAAAACATGTTGAATCTCTAAAGTTTCGGCTTTCAGATGTTTCAAAGAAAACATTTTTAAAATAACGTTTATGTACAGAATGAACCAAATGCTTCTAAAGTGAGTCGGCATTAAAAATAATTGAAGTTTTCTGGAATTTTTTTCTCAAAAAAATGTCTTTCCATTTTTGCAAATGTATCTAGAGAAGAATTGGAAAATTGTGAGGTAAATTGAAAAAACCCTTTTTAAATGCTGTATAAGTTCCTTCTAACGTCAAACCTTCAACTTTAACAAAGATGAGATCGATTCACCGAAGCAAGACAATAAGACAATTCTTTGGGCGCTCTTGAATAATAGTAAGGGTAAATATTTGCTGAGAGATCGTTGAAGTACATGATCTAGGATTCTGAAATTGCGATTAGATTTTCTGTACGACTATTGGTTGCTGAGATATACAGGGTGTTAGGGAAATAATATTCGTAACTTTAAGACGTGATTCTTTGCATTATTCTAAACAAAAAAGTTCATTATAACCTATGTCCAAAAATCAACCGTTTCCGAGCAAAAAAATGCTAAACTAATTTCTTTTTTCATGAAATATCTTAATTTTGCACATTAATAATTTAAATTCATATGCCTAATAGCGTAAACTGTATGAATACATCTATTTATTAATTAATTGTCACTAACAAAATAATTTTCTTGCTTATTAAACACAGTTCTCCGAAGAAAAACAGACAAACAAAATCCCTCACACAACTGGCAACGTCGTATTCCGCCTGCACTTCATGATGTATCATCGCGACCGACATCGTGTCGGTAGGAAAAAAATAAATACCTACATCGGGAAAAAATGATTTGATACTTTCTTGCATGTTCATCCGATTTGAAATCACAATTTATTATTCAGTATGTATTACTGTATCAGTGCGTGCATTTTAATACGAAAGAGATGTTTTCACTAGGTACGCGAGTATCACGATATGCTTATTATTTATGTAGAGGCTCATTGCAATTCTGAAGAGGCTAGGCGCATTTACAAAGAACTTTTTCCGGATCGAAGGCTACCAGCTAGAAGAACATTCGTAGAAGTATCCCAAAGGCTTTTGGACACAGGGAGCGTAGTGCTTAATTTTAACAATCGCGGAAGACATCGTGAGGTTGTAATGGAAACCGAAGAACATCTATTGTGATTACTAATATATTTAACTGTAACTTTGTGATTTAGGGATGTTGTTTTTTTTTCTTTTTTCGTGCATCGCATCGTTTCAAATAAGTGATTGATAATCGTGGGAATTGGTGGTGTGTATCGCCACGTACCGGTAAGTTCTGTCATTTTTTTTAAGTAAAAGTACTGTACTGAATGCGTTATTAAATAAAAAATATTAGCCACCAAAAATTGCGTAAAAGTATTCATGTTTTCAACAAAAATATCATACAAACGTAAACAATTCGATGAATCCGTTGCGGTCGTCGTGCGCTCGTGCGTTGCAGCGTTGCCAAATCTTTGAGAAAATTCAATTACTTACGACTCACTTTCCTCGAAAACGATTGAATTTCGGACATAAGTTATAATGAACTTTTTTGCTTAGAATAGTGTAAGCAATAACCTCTGAAAGTTCCGAGTATTATTTCACTAGCATCCTGTATACGTGGTGGAAGCAAATTCGGATACCTCCGCGAGAGAAAAAGAAATTGAAGCCCGTGGACCAGATATGACACAACAAAATTACTATTAGTCCTATTCCTTAGGATAGCCTGAAAATCGTTTAGCTTGGAAGATCTAAAAACTAGAAGCTTTGAGCTTCACAGTATTATCCTGAAACCCTGATACTACGATTTTTCGCGTAAATGAATCTGTCAAATATCATCCAAAACTTTGTTCTTGCCTTCTTAATTTTTGCAAAAGGTGTATTTGTAATTGCTTTCATTTTTAGGAACTACGTGGGTAGTATATTCTTTATATGCGACGTCTTATCGTCAATACCAGTTCTTCCAACACTATATTTGTGCGAAGCTATCTGGGGCACTAGATTTCTTGTCGGTGTGGGTTTCTTATTCATATTCTGTCAACTCAGACTCATCAGAATTGCATCTGTTGTCAGAATCATCAACCAGCTTGCTGTTGTAAGTATGTCTTTTTATGAACCTGACCCGTTTGTTAATGTGGAACAAATCTTGGAACGGAATTTTGAACCAGTTAACAACCAATTGAACTGAAATAATCCAAACACAATTTGGTTTGCATGACAATATAAAATGAATTAGCTGTTGCCATTTTGAATCTAATATGATGGGTGCTGCAAATTCGCGATTTATCGTTTTCATAGTAAATCTTATGACATGGATATTAAATAAAATTTGATGAGAGAAACATAATGTGCAAAATGATGTAATTCTGAATCCAATATGGCTGTCGCCCCATGATGGCGTTTATAATTAGTCACCCGCGCGGATATATCATGTAAAAAACCTATAAAATGTCAAAAAAAACCTATAAGATGTCAACTTGCAGACTAGGTAGTTTTTAGGGCACGTTTGCTCACTAGGATCGTTGTGAACGTCCCCATCTATGGAGGAATCACTCAACTAAACTACGCATTATTGGTTGCATAGTTTTGTGAGGCTGAGTGATCCGGGTCTGTAGTTTTTATCTCTGAGAATAAAGTTGGTTGAATAGCAAGATCGCATCTGGATGATTATCTGTATTGGTCTGCATGTGTATAAAATCAGTGATATCTGCTGTGTGAGAAAATCATGACTGAATATGCCGAATATGACGGGTTATTTAGATGTTGGCTTTCTGAAGAGAGGTTATGTTCAAAGTTATAAATTACGAAAAACTGAGGAGAATTACGGGAAATCATCACCGCGCCCGCGTTGTGTGTAACTACTGTTAGCATGTATATGGCTTGTAATTCGACAGTGTACAGTGAATATAATTATTTCTTATCTCTCTCATTTTTTAAATTCAGCAAATTTGTATATGTAATTTCCAGAATGGACAAAAAAAGTGGATGGGCAACTAATTTCTAGCTTTTAGTCTCAATTTAGTGTATTTGAGACAAGAACCCATTGTAGTTATCATCAACACATACAACTTACAGCTTAGACCTCCAGTAATGCCATCTCAGAAGCAGGTTTTACATCACATCAGAACCAAAGATTGATAACAAGCCTCATGACACGTACAACTAAGTGCTAAGTTAACATCTTGTAGAAAACCCTACATAATGTCAAAAAAAACAGCATAATGTCAAAAAAAAAATCGACATAATGCCACCTTTCAAGATACGTGATACCCGTGCCGTGTGATATAGGTATCAAATTGAAGGGCTTTATGGGAGAAACATAACAAGCAACGTGACGGCATTCCAATTCCATTATGACGGCTGCCGCAAAATGGGGATTTATAGCTTCCATGGTATGGGTATCAAATGCATGGGTTAATGAGTGAAACACAATATGCTAAAAACGTCATTCTAAATTCCATAACGCGATCGCCTTTCTCGAAATTTTATAATACAGATAAAGTGACAAGTTTCATGGAGTCCTGCTAATAAAATATATGAAAATTATATAGAAATTGCCAAACTAGTTATTTGACAACATAAATATTGAATAAGTAAAGCAGAAAAATACATTTTGCAAACAAGCTTTTGTTCAGCTGTTAATAAACTGAACAGAAAATTTAGAAACCTTTTTTCCAATTGAAAATATGTAAACGATAATGAAGTTGGACACCTTATATGTGTATATCATATCGGTTGGATTGGTGATAGTTTTGTGGAAAATGATTTTAAGAATCCATTTCTGAGTTATTTCTAGTTTCCTGTAGTGTCTATTATAAAATTCCATAAGTTGCACTAACGTTTTGTGTATGGTGCATAAGTCTTTATCAGAAAGCATTTCTCTAAAAAATTCAAATTTTGGTATAAGTCACCTTAATCTCTTCGTTAAGCTCTCTGTTTGCTTGTCCCATTTTAGATGGCTGTCTATGATGATTCCTAGGTATTTTATATGATTTGCTGGCTTTAGGACTACTATTTCATCTATGGGTAGTAATTTGATATGTATGTTAGTGAATGTGTGGCTGTTTCTATCATCGCATGAAAAAGTCAAATATAAGGTTTTTTCATAATTGATTGTTAATATTTGATCACTGAAGAGTCTTATGATGTCTTTGAAATCTTCTTCAATAAGTGTCTTTGAGGTATTCCAAGATTTTTCACTGTAAAACACAGCCGAATGATCTGCGAACCCGTGTATGTGTGCGTGCGTGCGTGCGTGCGTGCGTGTGTGCGTGCGTGCGTGCGTGCGTGCGTGCGTGCGTGCGTGGGTGGGTGAGTGCGTGCGTGCGTGCGTGCGTGAGTGTGTGTGTGGGTTAAAAAGATCATTTACATAAAGGTTGACCAGGATAGGTCCTAATACTGTACCCCTAATACTGTACCTTGCAGGTTACCGTATGTTCCATGGTGAAGGTTACTGATGGAATTATTAGCTTTCAGACACTGATTCCTATCTGTAAGGTAGCTTTTGAGTAAAGTATGTGTTTTTCCACGAAATCCTGATTCTCCAAAGTAGTTAGTAATTCGTTGCGTTCAACTGTATCAAATGCATGCTTTAAATCAATAATGGCACGGGGCGATGGGGTTCCTTAGTCTAGACTGGTATACACGTTTTTTATAAAATCTGCAATAATTGCAACCTGCGTGGATTTTTGTTCTTGGATTGTTCATACATTTTTAGTTCGTTTTATTAACGGCTAAAAACAATTTTTTTATTTTATTATTTTTTAAGCTTCCGCTACGCAATGGCGCATTCCTTGCCACTGATATGCTGATGTTACTTGTGAAATCGTTAAACGTTTCAAGGTTTTCTTTTGCAGCATATACGAGTAGTGCTACATTTAGTGGGAAAGCTATGAAGATGTTTTATTTGAAAATAAAAACGAAGGAAAAACGATCATAAACATACTTCTACTTAATGTGCATATAAAAGATTCTCGTCGTATTCACATATTTGAGCAAATCTGGCAAAAAGTTTAGAAATCTTTTGAACTCGCGCTAGCGAGTCATCGATTTCGCGACAGATTTTTAAGATAGAAGTATCTGTAGAAGTGTTTGTGCAGTCTATGACAACCGATCACCCTATCATTATTTTCAATAAGAAATGTTCTACCAACATAGTTTAGAAACTCTAGACTCTATAAAACTTGGGATTCCGTGGTACCACATACAAACTGTTAGAAAGTTATTTGTCAAATAGAACTCAATGTGTTGAAATAAACAGTTGCTATCAGCGAACAACACAGTGACTTATGGGGTACCCCAGGGTACAGTGTTAGGCCCCATGCTGTTTAATTTATATATCAACAATCTTTTCAAGTTATGTGCTGAAGGCGAAATTATCAGTTTCACTGATGACACAGTACTCAAGTAACGATTGGTACGCTTCAGAAACTGAAATTGAAAACGATTTTACAACAACTATATTATTTTAAGAAAGAACTATGGCTATAAAATATATAATTTAAGGTGGAACGCGCACACAGACGTCTTATTGAAAATACTAAGATGTCATATTCCAAAATTTTCATGATTTTTTCAACAAAAACTACCTATATATTCTTTACCACGCCCTTGACTACCTTATTCTATCATATGGTATGTTAGCATGGTGAGGACTCATGAATAATTACCATAATAAGACTTAAATCGCACAGAAGTGAATACTAAAACTGGTGCTTCATACACTTTACTTAGAAACCCAAACGTTAGTCTACTTTTACAAAGGATTGGTGTACCACGTTAAAAATATTATGTATCTTAATCCTATCAATCATAACTATCAAGAAATGTTTAAACAAAATTCAGCGTCTGTGTCGAAATCTAAAAAACCATCGGTCAAAGACCTCTTCTTCTTTTAGACCCAAAATATTTCAATAATATTCCAACATCAATAAAAGTTATTAAAACATCTAAACGATTTAAAAAGGAAATTAAGTCAAGGATTATACAGCAACCAAGGAACTCGATCCATAAACATATAGACATTAAAAATCATTATTGAACTCTAAGCAATTTATGCATATCGTGTGTGTATTTATGTTTGGACTGCATTGATGGAGAAATATTCTGCACACAGTCAGTTTAATATCAAAAATTGAATAATTTAGCCGAATTTTACACATGGAAAAATATGAATTTATAAAATTAACTATATTGTCATACCAACATTATTTAGCATTAGTGTAATTTACCATTTGTGTTCTTTTTTTCATTTTCATGGGAACCCAAGCACAAGTTCATGTTTTATGTTGTATAAGTAACGATTTTGTGTACGTTATTTCAATAAACATTATTATTATTGTTATTAATGTGGCATAGTGAAACTATAGTCTGTAACTAGTTACCCACTACGTATTATTTTGAGAAATATTATAGAGTATTTTCTCCCTATTATCAGAATACAATTGGAAAAATGTATCACTCCATTTTTTAAAAGTATTGTTGTTTCAGTACTTCCAAGTAACATCTAAAGGAAGAGTCTTCCTCTTAATATGTATGACAGTGTTTCTGCTCACTGTACACAACTTTGCCCTTTTGCAATTGCTTATACCGAAGCTAGTACGAAAATACTTCTCAAAGCTAAAAAACGAACATCGAATATGGTACGTCAAATATAACCTTCATGAAAAGCCTTTCGCGCACATTTATACACACTGTGTACTGAAGAGCACTGCATTTATGTTGGGTAAGTGCCTAGCTAGTAGTTCTAGCCATTACTAACACTTCTAAACAGTAGTTAACTGAGTTTCCAAGTTCAGAAAGTGTTTTGATTTGACAGCAGTCCATGCCTGCAGACGTGTTGTCGGAGTGAGGTGGGGGCTCAAACCCAAAGTGACTCAAAACGTCCATCCTTCCTGTACGGCTCCCTGGTATAGCATTGAAACCGATACAACTAAGGCCGAACTCAATAAAATTCAGCGTTTGGCCATTGAGTGGAGAGGCGAGAGTAGTCGCACATCGACTGTGGAGTGTGGAGTCAGGGCAGCTGGGACTTTCTGAGTTCTGTCAAGGGTCACACTGCCATCTTAGTCGAACAGCAAAGGGAGGATCCTGTCCTTCTGATCAGTGGTGATCTAGTCATCCCTCAATATCGCCTTAACCGCAAGTTTAATGTGGAGTATCCAACGAGGGTGGAGTGGGAGTTTGGAAGCCGGAGGGTCACCGAAGGGAGTGGGCAGGTCTGGTACGTAGACGGCTCGGTCGCTAAAGAGAGCTCTGGCGCCAGAGTCTTTGGGCCTAAGACTAGGCTATCTCTGCCTCCCGATGGATACACCACTATCTTCCAGGTGAAGATCTTTGCAATTCTGGCTTGCGTATCCCACATTTTGGAGAACAAAGTGCCTAGGAGAAGAATAACAATCTTCTCCGATAGCCAGGCTGCAATGAAGGCACATAGTGCCTGCAAGATTACTTCGAGTCTTGTATTGCAATGCATGGAGGCTTTGGCTAGTCTAGCAGCGATTCATCGCTTGTGTGGGTACCGGGGCCCGCTGGGATGGAGGGCAATGATATGGTGGACGCCTCGCAAAAGCAGGATCAACGAGAAACCTCGTTGGTCTTGAGTCAGCCTTAGGAGTGTTCGGGCAATCAGTCGGGAGGAAAATAGAGAAGTCTCCGTCAGGCTCATCGTGGTGCCCAGTGCAAAGGGCGAACGCTTCTGCCTATCTTTGGATAGAGCCAACCTAAGATTGCTGGTATGCTGGTAGGACTGTTGTCTGGTCATAACACGTTGAGGCGCCACCTGTATGTGATGGGGTGACTGAGGATCCCTTGTGAGAGCGCCGCGGGGTAGACGAAGAGACCTCAGCGCATGTTCTGTGCCGCTGTGAGGCTCTTAGCTACTACAGGCAGACTATACTGGGGTCCATCACTTTGGATCCCCAGAACTGGGACTCAATGCTATACTCAACTTTTGCTAGAAGGGCAGGGCTTAGGGAATGTAGGGGTCAATGGGCCCCATTAAGTGCCGGCTCCTCACGGTGGCCGGTAGGTATGTTTCTGATTTCACAATTCAATGCATGCTGTTTTTTTTTTACTTTCAGCTATCCGAGTGGACTTTTACAGAATGGAAAATCAAGAAGAAGATTATCTTTTAGCGATAGCTACCTACGTAGTGGGAAAGGTTATAGTGTGTGCAACTTACGGTTAGTTCCCTATGCCATTGCTAAGCAGCATTTCCGCAAGAGTATTTTCGAATTCACAACGGTAAATTTTTGTATTATAGTAATTGTGGCTGTGAGTCTGTTGAGCAATAAGTCTATAGAAGTAAAATTCTTCTCAATCATCAATCAACTGGATGAGTATATGAGACAGAAACAGTTGCCGTTGAATTTGCGAGACAGAATCAAGAAGTATTATAATTTTAAATTCCAAGAGAGATATTTTAAAAGCGAAATGATACATGATATGTTACCAAGTAAGTACAATTGCGCACATGATGGTTGTGGTCTCACTTAAGCCATAAGACACTTACCTCAAATGCTGTAATCTTTCGTAGCTTCACCATTAGGACAGTCCGTTTAGTTACGGCGTAACATACAATGCTTTCTCATTCTTTGTTGTCAAATAAAAAGTTTGCCCACAAAAATTGGTGTAACCATTTTATGCGTCCATGTTTAAAATACATCCTTGGACAACTTGCACAAATAAAACCGGACTTTGCAATTATTTCGGGAAAATTTGCTAATATGATTAGACTATGTGTTAGATGAAGGCCTACATTGAAAATATACATTTATGAGATTTGCTTAGCGGTGCGCCTGTAGCCTGTCCAGAAAATGCTTCGATCGATGCTCAAAGTGAAATACCACACGTCCCGCGTTTATTCCCGCGTATGTTTCTATTTATGTAGCTATATTGGAATTCGTTTAAGTCACAGAGCGTCTGCACTACACGTGAATATGTACAGCCCTGTATTCCTGTTCTTGTTTCGTACAAATATACGTTATCAAAATAATTACGATCTAACATATATAGTTTTTTCCAAAGTTTTCCAACATTTTTACATGCGATCAACACCGATTCGAAAACTGAGAAAGCATCAACTATTCCGTAAATCTAAGTTCGACAACGAAAGTCTGAAGAATAACTGTAACATCTATATTGAATTTCAAAAATAATTGACTATACCTATTGATATTTTTGTCACCTGCTGATATAATAGAAGTGCTTGATTGTGTCAGTATTTACACCAATTACTTGATTTGTTTAACGGGTAGTTCAGAGTATTAATCCTTAAGCTTAGTACATCAAAGACATTGTTTTGTGTGGAATGGCTGGGATATGTCTCGGGGTCCCTCAAAATGTCTTTTTTGGTTAACAGAGCAATGAAGTTTTTTATGTTTTAGTCTTTAATATTATTACACTAGTTAATTATAAATGCCACGTAATTCTTTTGTTCTCATATAATAAAATATTGCCTTTTTGATGATTTCTGAGCACATTCCATATTTTGTTTTCAAGTTGGCATTGAACAGATAGAACACAGTGGATTTAAGGAGCAATAATAAGATAAATTCTAGACGTTCCACCGAGGTAGAAAAATTACTAGCCCCAAAGATCGTTTGCGTTTGTAATAAACGGTACCAGTAAATGCAATGCCATATAATTATATATTTTGCAGGTAGACTGAAAAGAGATATAAACCTCCACCAGTGTAAATCCTTGATTCAGAACGTTTCTCTATTCTCTCACTTGACAGCCGAGGAAGTAAGCAATGTGATAGAAGCACTGAAACCGGAAATATTCTTGCCAAAAGACACTGTAATGTTAGCTGGAACTTACGGGGATCGCATGTTTTTCATTTCCAGTGGTACTGTGGCTGTCTACACTCATTCCGGCAGAGAGGTAACTTCAATAGACAATTTCTAGTATCTATTTCACGTCAAAGCATGAATCATCTATAATTAGAATTAGACTTAGAAGTAAAAATCTAAAATATAAATACCATTGGAGCCGTTAAAAAGTGTCATATCCGACAAAAATAACCCCGATAGCACGGAATATTCATTAAATATTTATGTAATATTTAATAATATTTTTATCTTATTTAAATATTTGTTTTCTTAAACAAATACATATTTAATAAATATTTGTAATATAATATTTATATTAAATATTTATTATTTATATAAGATTTCTTTTATAATATTCATTAAATATTTACTTTTCAATCAATGGAAAATATTAAATCTCCAATATTCAGAAAATATTCATTAAATATTTTCGGCTATGGCGCATGTGCGTGTGACCTCGAGCAACCAATGGGATAACAGCCTGAGAGGGCCGTTTGCCGGCAGCCATTTTACCTGTGGTTCATTATTTGAGGGTTTTTTTGTGGAAAAAGGAAAATGGTAAGTTTTTCGATAATTACACAGCTTAATTTATCTACTAGACTAGTAAACATTATTATGACAGCTGAGTATAAAGGTATTAATAAGACCATAAATAACTAGCCTTGAAGTGTGCTACTAATAAAAGTCACATTTCAACAAAATCAATAAGTGTTAGTCAAAGGATCAAGTTGTGCCCATGGACATTTTTCAAGATATCTAAATTCACGTACTAAATTTTCTTAAAAATTAACCAAATCTCGAACTATCATAGGCATGTGGGGTCCTTTTAGGTGCATTATAGAGCTGCTCTTCAGTGACCCAGTTGAGCTACTCGGCGTAACTCGCCATGCTCAGCACCAAAAATACTCTGGAAGGCAGCTTATGTACCTATTCAATAATACTTCATAATCAGTAAGTGTTTTTTTCAGAGAAGTGGACTTGCAAGATGTAGAAGAGGCTTAGAATTTCTTTTTGATAATATTTTTCTAGCAAATTAAACCATTATTTCTCGAATGAATTTTCTTTATAAACCCAATTTTATATAAGCATTCCTACAGGTTTTGCTAAAATAACCAATGAAGAGTTTTCTATATACACTGAAAATATGTATCAGATTTATGCTTGAAAATCCATACATATTTACGAAAGATATTAGATATTTCATCAAAATATAAGATTGATATTTAAAAATCTTTCCTCATATATTTATATATATATATATATATATATATATATATATAACTTGAGACGTGGTCATTGTCGTCTAGACCAGTTAGGTGAAAAATTAAAGCTTCCGCCTTTTGTGGGGTACTTCGACAAAATTTAAGCAAAGAGGACTCTTTATACCTTTTTTAATTCTCTCTAGCTTTCAATGGACTTTGCCATCATCATCAGGAGCTGCAATTACAATGATAACAGTAGCAACAAAAGTGTAAAATGAATTTAGATCGACTCAACTTACAGTAGTATGTGAGGATGTTGCTAATTGTTGTTTACGTATAGGATGAGGGAAACGTCCAGTAACATGGTGAGAGCTGGATAGATTTTACAATGGTCAAAATTATATAAAATATGACAAGAACAAGTTAAAAACAGATTAAAAATTATTTAAAAAACATTACAGCATTACAAGCCACTTGATGATTGCACAAATTAGTGGTCATGGAATAATGAGTGAGATGAAACCCTTTGACAGAAGGCCGAAGGATGTCAATGTCTGTGTTGAAAGATGGAACGAATTGTGGGCGTGTGCCAAAACGTTGCCAAATCACTTCAGATGATGAGATTTTCAGAATTTTATGTAAGAATTTGTTAAACCGACCAGAGGCAGTTGAATAAACTACATGTAATTTTAATTGATGGGAATTTAAATTAACAATTATTAATAAATCGTGAGAAGAGAATTATTATATTTTGAGTGGAATGAAATTTACTGGTGGAGTCGGCCAAAACACAGATTCTAATTATGGTTGTGAAGAGTTGAAATTTGGGGAGATATGCAAGTTCTCCAATTTTTCGCAGTTTAGCAAATATGAGTAAATGACACTCAGTTGTTTAACATCTGTCTTTTTGTTGATACAGTGGTTATTCATGAAGATGTGGGACATTTCCAGGAATAAACGTTTGGAAAGGTGTTTTTCTTTATCAAGAACTTTGATACTTGTGTAATTCATAGGCTTCATCCTGAAAGATGCGCTCTAGCATCTCATGTTAACACAACAGGGCATTTTGAATGTATTTATCTTACTGTAAATAAAAAGTGAAAACATTTTCAGCCTTATCAGTTGGACATTCCGGTTTTTATACTGCTTTTTTTTTAATTCACTAACGCTCTAAAAATGAATATTTCAGCCGCAGTAAAGAATCAATGTTGGCGAATTTTGGTTCTTGACATCCTTTACGATCGGTTACGATGCCTAGAGTACGGAGACCTGTACGATTTCGTCAACTTAGTGAGTTTGATAGGGGCCGTATAGTGGGACTTTGGGAAGCTGGACTTTCTTTTCGGGCAGTTGCAGTTAGAGTGCAAAGAAGTGTAGACACTGTGGTTAGGTGTTGTCAGGCATGGCTTCGAGAAGGCCGTACGCAAAGAGCAAAGGGCACTGGACGCCGCCGTAGAACAACAGACCGTGAAGATCGCCGCCTAAGATTATTGGCCTTAAGGGACCGTTTCTCCACTACCAGGTCCATTGCAAATGAATGGTTTGCAGAACACGGAAGACCTATTGGCATGCGAAGTGTTTACCGACGAATGAGAAGTTTTGGCTTGTTTTCATACCGGCCACGCTGGGTCCTCCCTTTAACTCGAGAACACCGACGTAATCGCCTTGAGTGGTGCAGACAACGGTCACTCTGGGATCAGGAATGGAACAGTATTGTCTTTAGTGACGAGTCTCGATTTTGTTTAGGCATGCCAGGGTTAGAAGGCGACGTGGTGAAAGGAGGAATCCACAGTTTTTTGTTGAAAGACATGTTCATCACACTGTTGGAGTTATCGTTTGGGGTGCTATAGCTTATGGTTCCAGGTCACCTTTAATCTTCATCAGAGGTAACATGAACGCGCAGCGTTATATCCACGAAGTTCTAGAACCCCATCTTTTACCCTATCTTGACACCCTGGCAGATCCAACTTTCCAACAAGATTATGTCCGACCACATGTTGCAAGAGTCACAATAGACTTCTTTCAACATAATGATGTCACATTGTTACCATGGCCACCAAAATCTCCCGACTTATCCCCAATTGAGCACGTGTGGGATATGATGGGTAGGAGATTGCTCAATTTGCAACGTCCTCCTCAGACTCTAGAAGCACTTCGAGAGGAGTTGGTGGTTGCCTGGAATGAGATACCACAGGAGGACATTGACCACCTGATCAGAAGCATGCCTAGGCGCGTTGGAGTATGCGTAGCACATCATGGTGCATCCACACATTATTAAAGGTCAAAGGGCTTTAAAGCAGTGCAATCATTTTGAAATTTTTATCATTTACTTATTGTGCTTCATTAAGTACTTATACAAAATTTTATTAAAATAAAACCATTTAAACTGGGTGTTCGGATTTATATGTCACTTAGTATATATATATATATATATATATTTATATATATACTACAAACATCTATGATGAATATTTTATAAATATATAAGAAATATATTTATTAAAAAATCTGTCGCTACAAATATTTAACAAACATTTTTTAAAAATATTTAATAAATATTTAATGCTATCGGTGAAGTGCTAGAAATATTGGGTTTTCACCACTAGACAGTGCTGGGCGGATGTATGTGTCGTAGCCATATTGTTAAATTGATCGTTTCATGAAATATGTCACTATCTGTTGGCCAGATCATGATGAGTGTTGACCAGATCAATGATAACAAATTGCTCAACGATATGATCCTATGATCGCGGCAGCTTGAAATAGTCAAGCTTGTTTGATCAAATCGTAAAATAATTACATTAATTAACGATACAGACTCTGGGAGCGCTTTGTTTATCGACTTGAAAATTTCAATAATTCGTTATGAAATGAGGAAATAAGGATGTTCGAGTACTATGCGGGTCATGGAAATGCTGATCCAAACGTCAAAAAGCTATGGAATTTACAGGTTAGTACTTCACCCATAAATTACATTATCATTCACTTATTTGAAGTCAAAATACTTAGGCTAGCTAAAATATTGTGTTTGTCTGTTAAATTACTGTATTATTTTACGTATCTGAAATATTTTATTTCGTTTTTAGGTTATACGTCAAATAACGGAGGGTAGGGTGATATCTTATATCTTTAACAATTTGATTTGTGAGGCATTGTGCAATTTGAGAGTTTCTAGTTTTCATAAAGTATTCTATGGTCACCCTATATCTCGTCAGATTAAGTTGGCCATTTCATTGAAACGTTCAATTTTACGATATGGCCACGACATACGCATCATGTAAAATATCATTGTATGCCCATATACAACTGCATTGTATTCATCTTGATATTTATGTATACAACGTAAGCAATCTAAATAATATACATAATGGCTTATGGCAGTTAAGACATAGTTTAGTTTCAAATTAGTTAACAACATTTTTAAAATTTGACTGAGTTGATTCAAGTCGTCAGCATCGACCAGTCCATATTTAGATTGGCAAATCCGTCGTCGGCAATTGTAAGAAGGAACATATGCTTTTTTACTGTACCTTCTCTCAAAATGTGGTCGCTCCTGGTGGACGACCTGTCTGGTATTATGCGCAATATCGGATTGGTGCGTGATGAAAAGAATATCAATCAGTCCGCCAAAATGGTCATACTACCGTTCACCAGAAAGAAAAGATTGAATGATATTTAACTTACAACAATTCGAGGTGAAAACATATCGTTTGCGACAGAGGCGAAATATGTAAGAGTAATCATAGATAATACGCTTAGCTGGAATTCGCAACTGGAATCAGGCAAGAATCTCGTTGCTCTGAGGAAAGAATTGGGGAATCAAGCCTAAGCAAACGTTTTAGCTTCGACAAATACTCCTTCTCTATCAAAACGCCAATTTGAACTCATTAAGAAGCAATAATCTA